CTTTCCCTTGATTATTTTTGATAGAGATCCACAACGTGCTTTTCCGTATGACAGGTATGTGCCAAATGCCCTTTCATTGCACATCTAAAACAACTTTCTTCATGCTCCTCTTTGGATGTACTACTTTTGTTTGCTTTGTACCTTTTGAAATTATTGCATTGTTCCTGATAGTTTTGTTGATTATTTTGTCAGTGATTTATTCCACGTGTACATTTGTGTCCACGTCTAAATTAGTGTCCACGTTCACATCCACGTCCTTATCTTGATATTGGATTTGCTTCAGGCAATGCAGTATCATTTGCTTCAAGCAATGGTACAGAACCAGTTTAAATGTAACCTATGATTTTTCATCAGCAGTTCATTATTTTATTCAAGAGTTAGGAGATGTTGTCACATTTGATATCACTTATCTCACTAATAAGTACGACATGCCTTTCGCCACCTTCATTGGCGTGAATCATCACAGACAATCAACAATGCTTGGTTGTGGTTTGTTATCGAATGAGGACACATACTTTTGTGTGGCTATTTAGGACATGGCTTCAATGAATGCGTGGCCAAGCTCCGCATGCAATAATTACTGATCAAGACAGGGATATGCAAAATGCAATTCAAATCGTTTTTCCAAATACAAAGCATAGATGGTGTTTTTGGCACATTTTGAAGAAGTTGCCAGACAAGTTTGGTTATGACGTTGATAAGTCTTTGATATTTTCGGCTATACACGGATTGGTATATGATTCGCAGACAATTTGAAAAAGGTTCGAGTGCAATGATCAATAAGTATGACTTGCACAATAATGATTGGTTGTTAGGTCTATCCAAGAAGAGAGGTCGTGGGTTCCTTGCTTTTTGACAACCACTTTATGGCTAGCGATGTCCACAACACAAAGAAGTGAGAATATGAATGCGTTCTCCAACGGGTATGTGCATTCGAAGACCTCGTTGAAACAATTTGTCGAACAATACGAAAGAGTACTGAGGAATAAGGTTGAGAAGATATTTCAGGCTGATTTCCATGTGCAACAAATTATGAAATTGAAAAACAATTTAAGTCAGTTTTTACCATTTTAAAATTTAAGGAAGTTCAGGATGAGTTCACGAGAAAGGTTTATTGCAACCTGGTATCTGCTTTGGAGGGTTGTTCGGTGACTACGTATGAGGTACGAGAGGATATCATGCACCAACAACACAGGAATAGGAAAACGATTTTTGTCTCATTTCAAAGAGAGAGAGAGAGAGAGAGAGATGTGAAATTATTTGTAACTACCACTTGTCCGAGTTTCGAAAAATAATTTGTAGGCATGCGATCACAGTCTTAATCCGTAAAATATCACATCACTGTCAGAGAGGTATATATTACGGAAATGGATGAGAGATGCCGGTAGAGAACACACATAGTCCCAATGAACTAAGACGAGTTGGTTAGTGCTCTTGGATAGTTGTGTTACAACGATATGTGTCAGGCTTTTGCGCAAGTGGCAAACCTTGCTGCAGATAACGAAGGGTGGATACGTGCTATAATGGACAAGTCAAGTAGTGGAAATAATGTCCTTTCACAGCATACTATTCAGTTAGCCTCTCAGTGTACTAATTCGAAAAAATACTGTTAGTGTGATAGTACTTGATCCCAAATAATCGAAGAGAAAGGGGCCGAGAAAACTTTGGAAAAAAAGCCCTTTGGAGTTGACTTTAAAAAAAGGCAAAGGTAATGGGCCGAGAAAACTTTGGAAAAAAAGCCCTATGGAGTTGACTTAAAAAAAAGGCAAAGGTATTTGGTCTATTAAATTCTCAATAGAAATGAAGTTCGAAACCAAATTCTCATTTATTTCGATGTACATGTGACTACTTCGACATCAAGCAAAGGAAAGAGACCGAGAGAAAGGGATAGTAGGGCATTGGAAGAGGTTGCACCCCACGTTCTAGCATCTCAACAACAACAACAATAATCACAGCTGACGTCGTTCTCATATTCACAACTCTTAATGGTTAGTATGTTGATTTTATTTTTATTTTTTTACTTGTTTAAAGGTTTATTTACGTTGTTTTTTGGTGTAGGGCGATGCCAGAAGTCACGTGTTTACCCAACAATTACCATTTTCCAATTTCATCCCTCTGTCATCTACATACATTATATTCGATTCTCAAGGTGAACACTTTTTTAAATCATTATAACTCAATAGGAATATTTCGTGTTTATGTATTAATGTTCCTATTGTATGTTAGGTCATTCAGTTTAGTACTATTACCACATTTACCACATCAAGATGTCACAGGATTCTAAAAGGGTGAAGTGGAGTTTAGTTTTGTTCAGGTGAAGACATGTGAGCTATTATAGCTTTGCAACATGTTCATGCATGCCCAACTTTGCTTAACATGATCTGTGCAATTCGCCTGTCGCCATTAGTTAATCCACTAATGTTTATTATGACTATATATTTGACTTGGTTTTAAAATCTGCTGATTGTAGAAGATTTGTGAAGCTGCGCATTGTTCCGTCACTTAGTTTTGTTGGATTCTGATTTGGAATTAGTTTATTGGAATCAATTTTCCATTTATTTATAACCCGTGAAAGTGCTGAAGTAAATATGGTTATGTGGAACTAGTGTGATATCATAAGGGGTTATAAATACTTTATAAACCGTGTAATGGCTTCAATGAAATTGCTTTGCTGTAGGTCTCTTTCAATTATGTTTTGTAAAGTCAAAGACATCATTATATGGATGATTAACAAAAAATTTTAAACATCATGGCAATGCAAATTACATTAACTTCATTTCATTGAACTCCTCAACTATTATTCAATATTTCAAGCATTCACCCTCAATGTAAAATGCAAATCTCAAGTCCATGGCAAGAATGAGAAATACTGATGCCAAACATAATAAAAGGAACATACTTTACACCAATTTTCCAATATCAAATACAAATTGCAATAACAGTAGTATTCCCTTCCTCTTTACTAATCAAGTCGGCCCCTTTCCTCACTCCCTTTTCCCTTGCGGAATGTTACATTCAATGAAATCTCCACGTCTTGTTTCTCACTTATTCAAGCTAGCATTTCAAACATACATGACAAATCTCCAACATCCTCCTTGGCAGCATTATTCATCGCTTAATTGATGATATTTGATTCACCGCTTGATTCTTCTAGTACGACCCATTCGTAAAACCCACGGTCATTAGTGCAAGTGTTGAATAATTGCCCTTTGTTACAGGTAACCTTCTCAACCTCAAAACATTTCTGAAATCCATGTATACACCATGGGCATCAACATTTTCTCGGGCATTCCCAGAAGTAGTGCCCCTCACTTCTGAGATGCAGAACAACCATATACAACAAATGTCAATATTACACAGAACTAAGAAAATCGAGTATAAGTCACGTTCAATGCTGTAGTTTTCAAAACTTAAAATCACAACACATACAACATGCATATCCTCTAAAGAAACAGAACCACCCCCCACAGTTCCTCTAACAATTTGCTGCAGTAGATGCATATCTTAAACAGAGCAAGAAGATCTTCTTCTATCAATCTCACCAACTGCACCCCTTTTTCAGGCATATTGCCTGAATTCTCAAACAAGCAAATTCTTGACTAGTCATTCACACAGTTTTCAATTGCACATCGATAATTATGTTATATACATATAGGTCTAATTTTTTACAACATAATTAACTCACCAATTACCTTTGTGAACTTGATGGAGATGTGTTCTTTAGTGGTGGTTTGGCGCCGGCTAGAGGAGGAGAACAATGTGGTGGTGGTTTCGCAGTGGGGAAGGTGAACAACATGGCTCGTTTCCTTTAAATCTCGGCTGGTATGTTTGGGTAATGCTTCTGTGGTACTTTCTTCACTTGTTTTCAATCGGCCGGAAGTGAAGATGAGTCCGGCGATCTTGTCTTGCATTTGTGAACGGAGGCGATAGCTTTGGAGACGTGGGTTTGAATTCAATTTAGCGGAAAAGGGACGGGAGATAAGATTTCAATTTGGGGTTTAGTTTTGTTTCATGGGTAAAGATTCTTGTACATAGTTTGATGTATCGAATTGTTTACCCCTTCTCACATGCACGCGGGCTCCGCGTAAATAAAAAAAATCCCAAGATGTGGTTTCCACCCTTTTATTGTGAGTAGTCGATAAGGGATTAGGTAAAAAAATTTGGTACATGTAGCATGATCCTTGTTTTTTTCCATATCACGTCACCCTGTGAAGCATGCCCCTGTATGTATAGTGCGATCGAATTTTGTCATCTCAAATTCACATGTTTGGTACAGCCCATAGCTACAATTCCCAGAGCAATAACACTTTTGCGAGGGAACTGGAGAAAAGTGCAATGTTTAAAACATCCCTGGGGAAAGAAATAGTGGGGGTTATGTCTTCGGGGAAGTGAGCTTGTGGGGAATATCAATGGTACAATAATCATTTTAAAGAAAATGACTTTCTTACCACGCCTGAATCTCACATCGTGAAACAGATTGAGTAGTCAAAGTTTCACACCATTTCCATATTACCAGAAAAGTTGTTGGAGAATCAAATTATGATTTTCCCTTTTTAAAAAATTTACTTACGAGTAAATTTTAAATAAATACTTTTGTTAATTAATATAAATAAGTTACTTATTTTAGTACTAGTGTGAGAGTTACATGACCGCAAACAGAGAATGGAGAAGAGGTGAAGGCGACGGTGGGGAAGCGCATCCAGTGTCAGACCTCCAAAAACAGCTCTCCCCCATTTGAAATAAACAACGAGAAACTCAGCCTTGTTCCCCCAAAAGATTCATGGTTGGCTACATTTGGAATAAAGAGAACAGACTAATAAAATCTCAGTCTTTATATCAACTACTAAGCAAAAGCACATTAGGTTCTCCTGAAAGCAAGAATTCTAGTCTATCATAAATCAAACACAGAAAAAATCCCAGTATTTGAAGATTTTAACAGTTATTAAGATTTTAGAGTCGATCAACTAAGCATCAAAATATATTAATACTCCCGGAAAGTCTCAAACTGCTGGAACAGAGGCATCCTTGATAGATTCACGCCAAGCATATTCCCTTGCCCCGTCTTTGTCAACAATTTTTATTACAAAGTTTGGTGGGGCCACAACCAGCCTACTTCGTATTTCCATTATGATCTTGTCAACTAAATCAATGGCTTCTTCGACTATCATGTCTTTGCGGTAATGCCTATCCATCATGGAGAGTGCAAAATACGATCCATAACCAAATGCTGCTTTATCAAGCTTGTGAAGAGAAGCAATATAATCAATAAAGTAGAGGCATGGGCCTATGTCCTTGTCGTAGCCAGCCATGATGATATTCACCATATATGGATTCTGGGGGAAAAATCAGCAAAGTTCAGTTCCAAATTTACCAACCAAATTTGAGCCAAATATTCAAAACTTCAATCTGATAACATCAAAGATTTTCAGTATGCACTATGCACCTTCTAGTTACAACTACCTTGGATAAAAAGGGGGAAAGATTTGGCTATATAAATAAATAAAAAAAGTAATGAGTACTCAACCAAGACACTAATGGATGAATCTTCGCGTGCATAAAAGAACTACACAAGCAGCATTCAAAGACATTGCAGAGGTATGATACGTGTAAATTAGCTGTAAAGAAAAGTTAGTGCAATTAAAAATCATTTATTCACTGATTGCATGCTCAGTAACGAATAATCTTAGTGTATCTAGAACTTGGCTACCGAATATGAAAGAAAACAAATTCCTGAATTATAGCTTCAGCCATGTTTTAACGAGTTAATAGATGTTCACGGTAAAAGTTATTCACTAAGCAGCATGCTTTCTAGCCGATTAACACTTTATTGCCTTTTTTACGTGATGGAAATAAACAAGATTATTCGTGAAAAAGAAAATGTAGGAGAAAGTTTGGCCTCTGCCTTTAGATAAACTTTCAATTTGAAGAAAGTGGGTAGTTTATTCATTCAGGTGGTTGGTTATTAATAAAACATTCTAAAATTTGAAAATTCAATTCCAAATATGTGGGTCAGATATCATATCCTTTGTTTTAAGGTTTTGGGTAAAAAATAATTTGTCATGTGACAAACTAAAATCACTACTAGCAAGTAAAAAGTCACTCATAGAGGGCTAGAATAATGTATTCTGCAAAATAATGTGAAGTGAAACATTCTAAAAACTCAAAATACCAATGACAGGCTAAACCTTCAATCTGTTTCATGTATTCCTTCCAGATCTCAATTCAATAAAGTAGCTTTAACGTTACCACAATGTTTAACATAGTATCATTATAAATTGATTGGATAGTATCACTGTCTGTGTCACCAAAATATGTACTCACACTAAGAGTAATTAGTTTAATAAGTGGACCAAATGGGAGAATGTTGTATTTATGGCTAAATGTTTTAAGTTATATTTCAAAATTTATAAGGCAGGTTATTTAACTGCCTAAATAAATCCTGGCTTCCTTAATGCATTGGAAGTTAGGGAAAAACTACTCACTTTCTTGGTGGAAGAAAGTGATGAAGTTCATATAAATAATCAAAGGATCCCTAGCCTATCCCCAACTCTCCACTTTTCTTTTTTCAAAAAGGGTGTGTTTTGTTTCCAAAAATTCAAGTGGGAGATATAGGCTCTAACACATGCAGTTAGAAGAAAGTTTTTAAACTATCAATTACATCTTTGATTACATGACTGTAGGTACATAAATTTCAGGAATTTATTTCCTATTAAGTGTTTACACAACATTATAGCACTAGTTGTCTCCATATATGATCAATACAAATGCAGAAGAAATTAAAGGGCTGATCCCAAGGCATTACAATTCAACATATATCAAAAAGAGAAGAAAAATTCAAGAAATAAAAAGTTAAATTTCCACCTAGAGTAAAGATATCATCGCAGACCCAAAACATAGGTGTCTGGAGTTTGGAGAGACCAGAAGATGACACCAATATGAAAAGAAAATAGAATAGAGAATAAGAGACAGCATGTGTAACATCCTTTTTGTGGATATTTATGCTCTTTTAGGAACAAAATTAACATGTTCCTGCTTCCATTTCTTTTTCTTTTTTTTTTTTATCCAGAAACTAAAGATTTCGAGCTCCACTAGCAAAATAATGTGCAGACAAGCATATGCAGTGTTGCAGTAAAGTTTCAACGAAACTGAAAAATTAGCAAGAGCAGTCATAATCTACTAATAACACACCCCATTTATTGAAATTTTATCAAGGCAATGAAAAATTGTTCTATACGACACTTTGCAAGACTTCTATTTCTCTTTTTAATCAAACATAATAACTTTATCTTCTATCTCCAAAACATAGAATATTCTACCTTCACAAGCACAAAATACTAATAACTTGGAGAAGAGAAAATATTGAGATTTGAAACAACAAAAGCTTTCGAAATTGATCAAAACAATATTATCAAAAGAATCTTAGAACATCCCATGCACCTAAAAGAATTTAGCAATTACAATAATGTTAAACTTGCCAAATATAGTCTCTATTGCAAATATAAAATAAAAATAACATATTAGTGATACAGTGCAAGATTTAGACAGATATCTTCATTCTTCACACTAGTGTTGCACCATAAAAATAATAGACACAGTTCTTCACTTATTATGCATTAGACAGTTCAATATATTTTCTTGAGCATCGTCCTAGACAAAACAGATGCTAGCTTGATAATTCAAGCCCCAAGTTAGGTGCTTCACATTCCAATACAAAAATACCAGAAAAGCATTATCATAATGTACAGACCAGGAAAAAATATTGAAAAACTTAAACTTCCACTATAAATAAGTCAAAGTGCAGTAACTCTAGAAGAACATTGTACCTTTCTCAAGGCTGTGGCAAGCTCGCCTCTGGTAAAATTTGCAGCAGCTGCAGTCGTCAAAGGGATGCCATTTCGAAATTGGTACAGAGCCACATTCTTCTGTATGTACTCTGTAAACTGAGCCCTAATACATCATTTTACCGAATAAGTTAATTAATACCATCACATTTAAAATGAGTACATAGGTATTATAGCTTCAGAAAACGTATACACCATAAAGAAATATATCCTGAATGGCATAATTACATTATATACTTAAGTTTAATATGATATATTAATTTCACTAACTGGACTCCGGATAAGACCTAATAAAGACCAAATTTTAGTAGTGCAATAGTTACCACAAAATGGTAGAATTCCCCATCAGTCAACTAAATGAAGACCCATACACAATAACCTTAACATCAAAAAAGTAATTCAAGTTTAAAGCTATTTTAGTGCACACATTTTCACACGTAAAACATCAAGCATATTATAGTTTTAGCACAGCTTTGGCTATCTCAAATGCTTAAACCTGAATGTCCATAAGGAAAAGCTCAACAAACCAAAACCAGTTCAGAATTTCACATAATATAAGAACAAACTTAGCCATCACCAGTATATAATAGAAAATCCAGAAATGAGATTCCCTTGCTATAAAAATACTAGCAAATTATATCTTGTGGTTTGCAGAACTGAACTGAATATTCCGTTGTGGTTTTGAAATAGCGTAAAAATCCTCTTGTAATTTTTGGAAACCCAGCAAATTACAACCATATGGCGTCCAAGGACTGCTATGATGATAGGAATTTGTTTTCTTCTCATTTCTTTTCAAAAGAAAGGAAATTTTCATTGCATCAACCAAACACCAGTAAATGATTGCTATAGTAAGTATTTCCATGTCAAGCATTTTCCTTCAAATAGAAATCTGCATAAAACATTTTCACAGTCAAATGTTTAATGTCTGTGCTCATTTTATAATATAAAAAAAAACTGAACTTCACCAGATAAAATCATCTCTAAAATAGTTCAAAGTTACAGCCCTAATTTAACAAAAAAAATAGCAGAAATTTACCCATCATACAGATTACAAGATGAAATTCAAAAAGAAGACAATGATATCGTAAAATATATTTACCCAAATTGGAAGAATATTGCTTATGTATATATCATATACAAGTGTTCATAAAATATGTGCACTAATGTCAAAAAATTAATTCAGAGCAGAAATAAATTAAAGAAAACCCAATAAGTAAGCTAAATATAAACAAATTCATCCTGAATCCATAGCATATAAAAATTCACACGCTTAGAAAAATGTCTACCGGCAAGTTCAATAAAAAAAAATGAAGAGCCAGAAAACAAAAAAGGACTTCAGTACAAAATACAAACAAACGAATTCCCTCACTGAAATAATATCAAATTTTAAACACAGAGAGACAATCAAATATGAGTTCTATAATTTTTTTTTTTTAATCTGATCCCAATGGCACAAAACTGGATAGAAAACTTAGGTAGATAAAACCCGAAAGAGAAAATAGCATCCTAAAAGAATCTTATTTGACATAATTAAATTACACACGTTTCATCTGCATCTGCATCTACACATAGACATACCTGCCTATATTATGTGCGCATATGCAAGCACTAATTTTCCTCTACCAAAGATTTTTTTTTCCACACATACACGTAGATAAACAAAAACTCAGAATGTAAATATAAAATTTATCACAATAAAAAATAAATCAATCAATCAGTCCAAATATCATCAACTAACACAGAACACTTGGACATATAAGTATACCTGTAACCCTTTAGTAGTTAATTGTACTCCACCAAAGATTTTACCCTACATACAGATAGAGAAACAAAAACCCAGAAAGCGCAAAACAAAATTCATTCCAATAAAAAAAATAATCAATGAATCCTAAAAGAACATTAAATTACCCAAAATACCTACACATACAAAATATAGATATAAATGTAACTACTTGAAACGGGTTTTTACCGGTCACCAGTTTCGCCGGAAGCCCCCATGAGTTTATGCGAATCAAGTATCATGACCTTGTCCTCATTGGTCTTGTGTACGAGGATGCTATGCACGGCCGATGAGTCCGCCGCAACAATTGCAAAATCTTTGCCCACCAGTCCAAATACAGATTCCATTCCTCTCTTCCTTTTTTCACCTTGATTTTTCTTCGGATCTGCTATTTAGGTATCGTTCTTTTATCAAACTCTAGGGGGTTTCGATTTTTTGGCTGTGCTCAGTACATTTGATTGACCTGCGTTAAAAGAGAGCCGAGAGAAGGAGTCTTGGAGAAGAGGAAAAGAAGGCTAAAGTCGTGACTGGTAGAGAAATCGCATTTTGAAAAACCAGGTATAATGGGAGGGAAATTGACACAATTATTAGGTTTTTAGTTGTTGGATGGATTCTTCCGAATCTTTCTATATTTTTTCTTTCTTCTTAATTTATTAGATAGAATTAATATTTATATGATGTTCTTTTAATCTTTCTATTTGTTCTAAATATCCTCTATATTTTGTTAAGTTTTCAAAAGCTTTAGGTTGATTTTCTTTAGTTATATATCCAAAATCAATCTATCCTGAAACTTCTTCTTCTATATTTT